GCTAAATAATTCCTCAGAGTTATTTTATCCTGGGTCAGGAATTATTTAAGTTAAAGATTTGTTTAGTGCCAGAAGCAGGTGGGTTTTGCTGCAGTTGGAAGTTTCCATAACAATAACTGGAGAGCCAATTAAAAGCCAATTAGTCATGGACATTACGTTAAGGTCCAGTACTTTGCAAACTCTCCCCTCTTCAGTTTTCCTTCTCTGGAGCTGCCCATTATCCTCAGCACAAAGACTTTGAAATGAATGTGGGCTGTTTGCCCGTCTCCATGGAAGCCCCGACACACCACACCGTACACAAACACTTCCCAGGCATCTTCAGCGCTACTTTCCCCTCTGATCCTTGGCCTAAACAAATGTGCTGTTTATTCACTCTTCTCAATTTATGAAGACTCCTTGGATGCTATATGAATACTAATGAGAAAAGAATTCAACCTATGTTTAAGAATGAGTGAAGATTCCTCCTTTTCGCATTCACCATGACAGCAAAAGCATACCGGTTAGCCTCTTTCATTATACTCTTCTTTACATCCAGAAACCTCTGCCACTTGAAAATTAAGACTGCAGATTTGGCATTAAAGAAGATAAAAAGCTCCCAAATAGGAAAAAAAATGACATAGTGGTTAAATCACAGAATGGGAAATCAGGAGATCACGGTGTTTCATTGTTCTCCTACCAAAGAGCACCACCATGGCTCCGTTCGTGCCCCTATCACCTCACTCGAGAACGATGATGAAATGCTACGTGCTTCAAGAATGAACTAAGGAGCATGAAGCAACCCTGAGAAATTAAACCTTCTGTACTGTTGGGCTGCATCTGCTTTAAAGTACAAAAACCAGAAAATCTGGTCAGAAATTTGAAATATCCTCTAAAGTGACTGTAGATCCTACATCGATGACAAAATTAAATGAAGGAAACGATCCCTTTCTTCCAACAGACAGCAAAGATTCATTAGTATCCCTAATGTTACACCAGTAGTTCTGTGCAACATTTCTGATGAGAAATTTCTGCCTCTTGATCTTTGGCACCAAACTGGGCAGGTTATTGCCTTAAACTGGTTTTGGATGACATGAATGAAAACCAACCGTATTTATACATCCCTCCCTTGGAACTCTACTGCACAGAATATTTCCCCTCCCTTTACCTCTGCCTCTAGGCTGCTGGTCCTGTCTTTTCCTGTCACCTTCCCGGGTCACTACTGCAGATAAACCAGTGCCCAGCATCACCTTATACTGGACTCCTGGCAAGACATAACAAAACCAGAAATTTGTCATTTGGGTATTTCCAATGGATCCTTGACATTATATATTAGGTGATCAAATATAAAATCTCTTAGGTTTTTATAAATTTCCATATCTAGTCATGCTGCTGCTTGCTTTTTTTTTTTTCTTCATTTTTATCTGGCACAGACAAGCTCTGAAATTCCAGCTTGTCTGGCCATGGGATCCTTCATGCTCATTTAAAATCTGCCCCTTTCCTAAACACCTTGAAATAATTTCCATGCGTGGTTCTAGGAAGCAAGGCTGTATCTTAATCTGTGCTGCCTTTTTATTTAGGGTGTAAGGTACACTGACGTTGCTGTATTTCTCCTGTTGGGGAAACTAAGGCACAATGTGATTCGATGCAAATGATAGAGCCTGTGCCAGAACCAAGATTTACATTCTAGACCACCTGAATCTGAAAACCCATGCTGAAAACTTAACATTCCTTTCTAGTTTCCCAGATGAGCACCTCCAGAGAAGGCAGACCTGGCTGTCTTTAATCATAGAATGGTTAGGGTTGGAAGGGACCTCAAATCCATATACTGGGCAGAAAGACCTAACAAAACATGCCATCTGCATGGCTCCCTTAATTTCTCCACATTAGGAGAGAGCTCACGAAGTCCTCTCAAGAAAATCACTATAGAAAAATCAGAGTTTGTACTTTGTGTTTCATTAGCTAATTATAAGTTCCCTTACAAGAACTCCAGAAAAGTGAAAGCTATTGTTTATGTCTATCTTCAATCTCATCTAAGTGAAGGGAGTCTGCTATTCTAAATAGGGAAGGGATTGTATGGGAAGGATTGTTTTTCTCCAAACTTCTTGATGTCCCTTGGACTGCAAGCTAAACTGAAGCCAGGCTGCCAGATGTGAGAAGGTAATGCCAATAGCAGGTCTCCCATTAAACATCACAGCATTTACCCACTTCTGCTAGAAAAGATTCTCATGAATATTCTCGAATGCTTTATGGGTTAAAATCTTAACCAACTTTAAGGCTATGATGAGTGTTCACTGTCAACATCTCTGTATTACATGAACTCACTCTAGAAACCTCCAAAATCCAAACAGATCTAAATCATATTGCAGCTCAAAACGGAACTATCTGCACGATACCAGCTGTTAAAATCTTAACCAACTTTAAGGCTATGAGTGTTCACTGTCAACATCTCTGTATTACATGAACTCACTCTAGAAACCTCCAAAATCCAAACAGATCTAAATCATATTGCAGCTCAAAACGGAACTATCTGCACGATACCAGCTACAGTCCTCAGGGGACTGTAAAGGATTCTTATTGAGTACCAGACCTCAAAATATTTTTGTCTTAAAATGAAGGAAATTAGCATATTTCAGAAAAACAAAACGTAACATTCTTGTGAAAGGAAATACTACCATATTCCACAGTAATCGTCCAGAACACTGAAGCTCTGTGATGCTTCCAGGAGCCCCCATTTTGAATGCCCAAGCTTGGTAGTGCTTGTTCTTTGTGCACTCTTTCGTAATTATTTTTTCCAGAACTAATGAAGCTAAATGACTAGCCAGGCTCCACTCTGGAGTCTGCTATTTCCCCTGACTTTACAGGAAATCCGATTGTTTCTAAGCTAAATAATATCATAAATTGTTTTTTAGCAGGACCAATTTGCTAAAGTTATAACTCTCACTTTTTGTTGATGAATATTTAATGTGTTAAGTATAAGGAATATTCCATATTGACCAGACCAAAACTAATCTTAGGAAGAACTGGGAGGGAACTTAATTTAGTATAAAACTCCTGAATTTGGTTTGCTTTCTTCTGCATAGAGACTCTTTGTGAACTACACGATAGCTCCTACTGGGAAAAGCAAAAACACCTTATTATATGGTCTAAATAGGAAGATATCCTGATGTAACCACTGAAAGTAAACTGTTTTCTAAATAGTACAAAAGGCAGCAATGGCAATGTACTCTATAGGAAATGCATAATATTACATTACACACGTACACAGGCTTGTAATGGACTGGACTTGGTGTTGGTTTAGCTCCATACCTGAGAGGTGGCTTATTCGTACCTCAGAGAACATTTGATATAAACCTTACATGTGTGCACTGATATGCCAGTTTTCCATTTATCCAATATAACTATGAATTTCTTACTGTATTACCAGAGTCTAATTTCTTAAATTTTTCATAGGTCTGATTTCAGTAACATTTTGCAGAATTAAGTTACATACTATGTATATTATGGGAAAAAACAAGACTCCTAAAGTAAATTCAGTATTATGTGTTGCCTTTCAATTTCATGGACTCTATTTGCTATTTTGCATGTAAATATCAGTGCCTGAATTAATTTCCTTTGTCAATTGTATTGCACACTTCCATTGTGTTTTCTCTAAAAGAGCGATACTTTCTTTCAGTAATCCCTATGAAATGGCAGGTAGGAGACCCAGACTGAACCAAACCAAATGTATTCCAGTAAAAAGAGAGTTGTAGCTCCAGTGGACTCAACATGCCTCATTTCACATTCCATTCCCGTTCTTTCCAAAACATAACGTCTTATTAGATTGTTAGAAGCTAAATCTATGTTATCAGATTTGTTAGATTTTGCTTCATGTACAGTAAAAGTTTCCATTTTACCACCAAGAGTAACTTATACCGTCGAACACGCCTGGGTCTTTTCTTGATTTAATAAGAACATTTTCAACTACATGTAAATATATTCCGGATTTTTCCTCTAACATGTGCTACCCTGGATTTCTTCGAGGGTACTCCCCCAAGACTGTCCACTTAGGTAACTAAGTTCCTCAGTCTGAGCAATCTTTGTCCTCTATTGAATTAAATTACTTTTTCAAAATATATTTTGTTGGCAAGTTTAAGGACTCATATTCATCAGTTACATTATTTGGTCTGTTTTGATCTGTTTCCTTTAAAATACATAGACGTAGTATCCTCTACATTCCACTCAAAACCACACAATTTCAAATGAGACTGTCAGCAGTTCAGAAGCCCATTACCAAGATGCTTACCTATAACTTTTTTCAGATTTGTCACACTGTTTATGTATCATAGTGAAACACTGGCACAGGTTGCCCAGAGAAGCTGTGGCTGCCCCATCCCTGGAAGTGTTCAAGGCCAGGTTGGATGAGGCTTTGGGCAGCCTGGTGTAGTGGAGGGTGTCCCTGCCCATGGCAGGAGGGTTGGAACTGGATGATCTTTGAGGACCCTTTCAACCCAAACTATTCTGTGATTCTATTGGATCATTCTTTTTGTCTTTTGAGACTCTGACACTGCTTCATCTCCAGTTCTCAGCAGACTCAGATCAAAACTGCCTGACATTTCTGAGTACCAGACCAAGTGACCAGATGCAAGGCTTGCTGCTACCCTAGCTGTGGTGTTATGGTGCCCACGGTAAAAATGAAGCCTGCATGGCTACATCACTGTCAGAGGAGAAGGGAGAGTTTAGGCCAGAGTAGCCTGTTCCCATATATAGTTTCTAGATTCTTTGACCTGAACTCAAAGCTATAAGTAACATTTAGTTCTTATTACTTAAATAACAGCTGAAATACACCTTCCTTTGACTCTCAGTGAAGCAACTGAACACAGCCCTCGGGGGTTCAATTTTACAGGCTCTGAAGATACCCCTGTTCTACTGCAGCAACTCTGAACAATTGCATTCAACCAAAGCCACTCATGTACAACACTGCGCATTCGTCTTGCTTTTTCAGATTTCCTACAAGTCCCCTTTATTTTGTCCTTCTTTTCCAGGTCAGAAATGGTGAAATTCCAGCTTCCCCCCAGAAGCAGCCCAGAGCAGAAGGAGAGAGCAGCCTTACCAAATGGAAGATACTGCCTGCCTGTTGTGCAGCAAGATCGACGGTCCCCCACTGGCGGAGCTGGGATTTCTGAGAACGGTATCAAACCCAGTACCCAACCAGTTTATTTCCTCACTGATTTATAAGATCCTCAACAGAAAAACTAATATAGATATTAAACCACCAAAGCCACACACAAATCCTAATGAATATTGAAATCCTAGACCTAAATAAAAGGTAATATCCCAGCTTTCTACTTCCCACTCTCCACATAATTTTATGTTTAGTAAAGAACTGAACAAGTCACTTAAAGCTATGATTCAAAGGTGCGTTTTCCATATTATTCACCTCACCAAAAACTTTTTCCTGGCTTAAAAGTACAAAGTTTCCATTCCTTTGTAAATAAAACTCAGAACTTCAGCTAAAATCATTTCCAAGGAAGCCATATGCCGTTAATATTCTGTACAGTCACACTTTTTGGAAACATCCTGGCTGCTTGGGTAACTCTGAAAAGGTCCAACCTGTTTAGCACATGTAGCACTAATGACTGCCACAACATCACACACTTGTGATTTCTCGTGTGACCGCATGAAGCATTCTTTCAGAGTTTTCTAAAATCCCTGGGTTTCCAAGGCTAGCTCTCCTTGTGAGTAACCTCAGCTGGGCTTTTGTAGGGCAGGCAGCTACAAGGGCTCTCAAAGAGAGAATTTGGGTGGGTCATCATTTTAGCTGCTGTAATGATGAGACACATTTATGATAGGTTTGCATGCCAAGGAGACAGCAAATGCAAAGTGTGGTAAGTTGGACCTACCTTCACCAATTATTTTTTGTGGGTGTTTTTTTTTGTTGTTTTTTAAAGATTAATTAGGCAGAAAGGAAAAATAACTCAGAAAGTTGAACAAATTAAAAAATTGTAAAATTGTGTGAATATCTGGAATAAACCCCGATATACTAGATGAATAAATCTAGATGCAGAATTATTTATAATTTTTATATCTACTTTAATAAATATTAATTTTTTTTAGAGCAGAAGAGTACTTGCATCAATGGCATTCAGTAAGTTATTCTACATTAGCTGGTTTATAAATTAATGCCTTATTATCACGATAATAAAGCGCTCTATGATTCTACTGACAGAATATTTTTTAAAATATCAGCTTAGTAGAAGAGTTCTAATAAAATACTAGCTTTATGTTAAGAGAGGTACATAAGAAGCTTTGTTTTTCCTCTCTGGTTTCCAGTCCTGCTAATCATAACCTACAAGGGGGATGTAAAAGTTTCTTTTGCATATGCATTCAATCAGAGCAGAGGACATTCCCATGGGGAGGAGGGAAAGAAAAAAGAAAACCAGCATTACAAACGTCTCAGATACCTTAGCATGGACGTTGCTTGAGGTTTGTAAATAAAAACTCAGAACTTCATGCCTTTTCCTCCATTTTAAAAAACCTAATCCGAGTGTCTGCTATGCCAGAGCCTGCGATTAATTTACTGGATTAAACATACCAGTCTGAAGCTCTTCAAGGAATCCAGAGTGTTGGGCGATCGGTTCTCACAGCGGCCACAACGGTTGTAAACTCTGATCGTTATCACTTGGAACTCCTACAGCAAGAAAACAACTGATGATATAAAAAGTTCACCATTAATATGTCACAGATTTAAAATATAGAGTCTTTTTTTTTTCTGCCGTGCACAGCCTCATTGGAAAGAAAGTGCTCCTAATAAATTAGTTTGTACAGTGGAAGGATTGCCATGAAAACGCAGACATTCATTGTCTAATTAAAGAGCAATGCTGCATGCAACTAGGCTTTGTTCCTGCTTAGAAAAATAAATTATCGAACATGATATCCGATAAATTAGGCACATTGAGTGCCACTGAAATGAAAATTGCATTAACAAACATATGCCAAGTGTTAACAAAAAAAAAAAAAAACAGGCCATTTTTCCTTGGGAGCCGAAAATAGACCTGAGAGGGGATGAAACACCCTGTAGGCTGGTGGCCCTCCCAAGGGTGGAACACAGCCACCCTCCCACAGGGATCTTGCCAGAGACCACGGGTGCAGGTGCCTGCTCCCCGCCTGTGGGCCAGGGCTACAGACCCCCTAGAAGCCCTTTTAATCACAGCAACTAAATATGGCATATTAGCTTGAACTGCAGGTGCTTCCCACAGGGATCTTGCCAGAGACCACGGGTGCGGGTGCCTGCTCCCCACCTGTGGGCCAGGGGCTACAGAGCCCCTAGAAGCCTTTTTAATAACAGCAACTAAATATGGCGTTTTAGCTTGAACTGCAGGTGCTCGTGTCCTTGAAATGAGACAGAAAGTCATTTAGCTGAGAGGCTTTGCTAGAGGATTCATCCCCTTGAACCCCCCTTCCCTGTGCTGAAAGGACTAAATACGCACACGCTTGTAATGGTACCTAAGGTCTAAAGTGTTTCAATACTTGAAGAAATAACAGCATCTGGCTTGATAACTCTGTTAGAATTCATTAAACCTGTTTGTTTAACTGACAGTGATTAAGGGAAATAATTTTAAAATTTAAAATCATGTTGACATTGGCTTAACCTGATGTCAGCTCAAAATAAGTGTTCAAAATAAAAATAGGACCAGTACTTCCCATGTACTCACTGTTTCAAAAGACTCCCTGTAAGCTACAAGCCTCATAGTAATCCTCTAAGGTCCAGTAAATATCTTCTTGTGATAAAAAGGAGTTAAAGGCACTAGTTTTACAAGACACAGCTAAAAAGTACTGAAATATTACTGCAAGAGTACATATATTTACATGTATCATAGACAGTTCATTTATAATTTATTTGGCACATGAGGAGACATTAGGTTTAGGTAAAAAAGATGTAATTAACATTAGATAGGGATAGGTCTAATATTACATTCATATGTTGCGATCACTGTCCCTGCAAAGCACAGCAAGGGAACGAATTAAAGAACTATTAGAGAATTATTAGAATATCAAATTCCTGCACTCTGAATGCATGTTCATCTGGTACATCTTACACAGTACAACAGTTTCTCCTCCCTCTTGAAAAGTGCATATTCAGTTGTATACATGAACAGTAATTGCCTCCCAATAACACACTGGTCCTTCACACTTACCTTACGTTATAGTTACTTAAAGGAAAGAGGAGAATTGAAGTGCAACAGCTACCAGTCACCTGTAAAAGACTGCTGAAGCATTCAAGACTCTTAAAATGAGGATCTTTGCTGAGTCTCCCCTGCCTTAGCTGTGAAGCCCCTTTCCAGGGATGCCAAAAGACCCTGCCCCGTGTTTCACTGAGCTTTTTGAAACCTCACCTCCTTCTGTCTGAGCCTCAGGAGTTAAATAGCCACAGCTGCAGCACATTGGGGTGATTGTTTTGTTCGTTCCTCCAGCAGATGACCAGCTGTTCCGTTCCGTGGAGGGCCAGGCTGCCTCTGATGAGGAGGAGGAAAAGTGGGCAGGAGACCAGCCATCCCAGGTGAACCAGATGAAGAAAATACTGGCCAAGCTCCCTTGCTGTGGCAGCGGGTATGTTTCGGAGATTAATGCTACTTGAGCCATTTGCAAAGATTATTTCATGACCCAAAAGAAGCAGTAACACAATATAGCAAAATCAGCAGGCCCCTTTCTCAACCTCTACAGCGCATGGGAAACAGCATGCTGGATATTCCCACCTAACCCCAACCAGTGTCAGCTAGCACACCAATTTGTGATCTCTGCTGCCAAGAGTTTTGCAGGAGAGCTGGCTCTTACAAACATGGACCTTCATTGTGAGGTTTCACTAATCTATTTTTTTTTTAATGTGTATATAGATGCGATGAAAAAACGTGGAAAAGGCTAATGTCTGTCTTGGAGAGCACCAATACTGATGGCTATGAAACGGCCCCCACGGAGCTTGCAGAGAGAATCACCCAGCTAACTGAACAGCTTGAGCTTAAAGGGCATGAAGTGAAGAAACTGGAAACCAATATGGAAGAGGTAACAGGTGCTAAACAGAGTGTGAGAGTTACTTATGTATCTTTAAGTAGCTGCATTTATATCCATATGCATTTAATATTTTCTTCTGGCCATTCTGCTCTTTGTTGCTGATATTTCTTACTGTGCCGTTGGTTTGTCAGCTCAAGCATCTCATGCTTTCCCCTAACGCCTGCATTTCCAGTCTGGTTCCTGCCTGAACCTCCATTTATTTGGAGGATGAGATGTACACCAGTCACAGCCAAACACAGGCTTCTCAGCTGCTATCCTTTATTGAAATGGTTTAAGATGTTCACTGATGCTGTGTTTGGGACTGAGAGGGTTACTATCGGCAGCTTTGAGTGGTTCCTGAGCTGTGGCTGGAACACTCCGCATGTCCTAAGGCATTCAGCTCTGCCAGGAAAACAGTAACTTCTCAAGAAATCCCTCCAGCTGACTGAGATGCAAGGGCTCACGGTCTGGGAATCCTTCAGAGGAAATCATCCAGGTTACTCTGGCTGGTTCTCAGGCTTAGACTGATATATTTAAGAAAACTAGTTCTTAGGCTTAGCAGTACGTTCAGCTTTCCTTCAGCAGCAGTAGTTAAAAGCCTTAGTGCAGTATCCTCGTGGTCTCATGTGATCTTACTATTTCAATACTGCAAACCTCAGCCACTGATGGACATAGATTTAAATGCTAGCAATCTTTCTGTGAAACAAAAAAAGTGCATCATATGCTTTGTCTTAAGGTTCAGTTAGTGCTTGCTCAGTGTTTTATATTCCTTCTTTAAAAAGACCTTAAAGATTTCAGTAGTTCCGGAAGGACCGTATTAATCAGTAAGCTGTTCAAAGTAAGAGTGAAATATCCAACTTCTTTACATTGTATTGATTTTTATCAGTATTTCATATCATTTTCCCCCTTGACTAAATTAAATGAAAGAGTTTATTTGTGAGGAAAAACATTTAAAAACACAATAAAATCATAATTGCATCTTACACCATTTGCAGTATTCCTGTAATACTCCTTAGAGCAACACAAAGCTTCCTTCTATACAGCCCACATAAAAAACTACATTTATTCTTTTACCTATAGGAAGGAAGTACCTTCCTGTAGGTAGTGCCAGTTTTCTTCTCCATTTTTTCCATCCAGAGGTACTCATCTACTTCTGCAGTTTCATATTGCCTTCTTTTTAATCTCTGCTCATGGATATTAGTCCTGTGCACCTTGTTCAGAAATGGGCTGTTATCAATAGATCAATACAAAATTCCAGGACAAAAATGGAATCTGGTGCTCTTGAATTAAAGACAAGCAGGGAGGTGAATAAGATGAAGTGCCAACTCACTGGATTGTGAATTTAAAATCAGTAGGGTGAATCATTTTGAGCCTATTAGAAATTTATTCTTAAACCCTCTTAACTTTTATTTAGCCAGCATTTATATCTTGCATGCAGCTACAGGTTTTTGGTTGTTTGTTTTTTTTCCCTGGATGCTACAAAACAGACAGACACGCAATAAGTAATTGCTTTCAAAAGGTCACTGTTCCTGTAACCAACCCAAAGCAAATTGTAAGACTGAGAAACACTCTCTCTCATCTAACTTGGAAATAAATATGTTGGTTTAATAAATAAACCACCAAGAACACTTTCTCTGGTGACCTGACAAAAATACCTTATACATTGCTGTGTATATTTCTATTTGGACTTGTTCAATGCCAAAAATTAGACAAATAACAACAAAGCTAACAAGTAACAAACTCAGCAGGCAAGTGAAAAGTGACACTCAAATACTGATTAATAATTGCTTCAGTCTAAGACTTGTAAAACCAGGGGATAAAGGAGTTCTGAAATTTGTCATGTCTAGAAAGTTCTGCTTCCCAACAACCGAACATTTAAAAATAGTTTCTACTGAAGACAGGGTGATGAAGGTGTCAGGACCTGGGAATAATAGATGGAAAAAAGCGAGTGAATTCTAAAAATAAAGTGATGGGCTGCCAAGTGTAGTGTTGCAAAGAAATGCCAATGACTTTCTATAAAAGCTCCTATACAAACTGTCAGCTTAATTAAAGAGACAATTAGTTTATGACCTGCTGTACAGGGTCAAATGAAATTTCATCCTAATATCACACGCCGGATGGCAGGCAATGAGAAACAGCACAGAGGATTTTCCTCTGGGTGTTGCTCACCTGGTTCCCCATACGCTAGGGGCAGACACATCTCGGACTGGATGTTGCACGGAGTATCACATTTGGTGGCTGGTATTGGAGCTATTTACCATGAATTTACCTTTCCTTTCTTTAAAGCTAGCGATGCTTTCGGTATCCCAGGGCAAGGACTCCCACACACTAGTTAGAAAGGAACGGGTGTTGGGGATTTGTTTTCATTAGCTTGAAATCTGCTGCCTGATCATCCACCGTCACCTCCTGTTTGTGCTTGGGAATCAGCAAATGATCTTTCCCTTATAATTTTACAGCCTTTTCCCACCAGAAATACTGCCTCAGTTATCACCATTCCTGGTCTGCCTCAGCTCTCTTGGTGTAGAAACCATGACTTCTGTTATTCTATTTTATTCTTCTGTGTATTTTTCAAGCTTTATTACCCTTTCTGAACGAGAACAACTGAAAACGTGCTTAGTATTCAAATGCAAACCCTTCATGGCATAATCATAGTCTCTGTGTTGTCGCTAGTTCCTTTCCTACTAGCTCCTAGCATGGATCCTTTTGATCTCTGCTGACTGCTGAGCTGTTTCCAGGAGATTACAGCTCTTCTCGAGCTCCCCCTTGAGCGGCAGCCCTCATCACTGCGTGCCTACGACATGGTGAACCTTTCCTACGTGCCTTACTTTGCATTATTGACGCTGAATTCAGTCTGATCTTTTATTGCCCACAGCTATTCGATATCACAAACTCCTGCTGTAATTCTTCACAGGCAGCTTTAGTTTTGATTACCCCAAAAAATTGTATTGAGAGCAAACTTAAACACTTTGACATTCACCTTTTTTTAAAAATCATTTATGAATGCGCTGAACAGCTCAGGTCTTAACCCAGCTCTTTGTGAGACCCTAAGGATTATCTCTGTCCCAGTCAATCCCAGTGTGCCCCTCTGTGCTCTACCCTCATCTTTTAACTCACAGTCTGTGGCAGGCTCTGTGCTGCTGCCCTGGGGCACTGACTTTTTTTTTTCTTTTTTTTTTTTGAGTCTTTGGTGATGAATCTTATCAAAAGCTTTTTGCAGATTCAAAATACACTCTGTCAACTGAATTAAACATTATTCATACCTATTCATAGACCTCTTCAGAGAAATCTAATAGATTCTTCACCATGTTTGTCTTTGTATTCACCAAGTTGCTTATCCATTAAAGTTCCTATCGATTTGCCTTGCAGAATTACCCGTACTCTTGAGGTCATTTGCTGCTTCTCAGATCATCTCTGTAGCCTCTCTTAAAAACTGGTGCTACATTTGCCACATTCTAGTCCTTTGGGGGTGAAATGATTTAAAAGATAACTTGCGCAGCACACTTCAGCACTTCATTCTGCAGTTCTGTTACTGTTTTCTCCTCGTTTTCAGAAATTATTTCTCAGGTTCCTTGCTTATAAAAATGGTGCTAATATGAGAGCTAATTTTTGTAGAAAACACAATAGAATGATTTTCTGTTACATTCTTTAAGAGATTTTTGCGTATTAATTATTCGTTGTTCTAGATGTATTTGTACACACTACTCCAAGGCTCAGACTTTCCCTATGGCATTAATCCCCTTTTATAAGTGGGTTCAATATCAGCAGGTGACTTATTCTCAAAAGTGGCACTTGGCAAGGTAGTATTCCCATTTCACAGACAAGGCTCAGATTGAAAATCAAGCTCTGCTGAGGGACTTTGACAGAGCTAAAACCAAAACCTGCTCCTCTGAGCCCTGTGACTTAACAACTGATCACCCCTCCTCAGCATCTAAGTTTTAAAAATAGGTTATGCTTAACTATCGTCATTATCTTAGTGCAAATGTTAAGGTAAGAACAGATGGCAGATGTGACCATGCTAGGGAAAACAATCTGGGAGAATGTTCTGTTCTAATCTTACGCTGAGCCACTGTCTTCAAGCACAATAAGACAAAGAACCTGCATACCCACACGTTTTAATTTAACACAGGTATCAGGGAAACTAGCATCCTGATACATGGCCAGGTGACTGGTACAGTGTAGCTGCCGTGGAGAGCAGCTTGCTAGCTCTAGCAGAGGCAATATGAACACAAAGGGCTTTGCAGGAGCAGTGAAAATGAAGAGGCAAAGGAGGCAGCAGCCACTGCTGTGCCCAGATACCACCAGTGGCACTCTCAGCTGAGCATATTGCCTGTGCTGTCGGTGAACGCCGAGCAGCTGCCACGACACTGGGCGACTGCGGAGCGCTCCAGTGGCATCCATACTGAAGAGGAGAGTTTGCACTTGTATTCATGTCTGTATGTGAGAGCGGAGCACCCGGCAGAGGACAGAGGGCTCCCTGTGCAGCTTTCCAAGAGCGGCAGTTTTGCCAGCGTGACAGCAGCAGCGGCTAAAAGCAGCAGATAAGGGATGTCAGGGGTGCAGGACCAGGATAGATGGGCACCCGTTATGAATTTCCGTGAGCATCTGTCTGATTGCATGTTGGGAAAGTCTATTTTACACTTAAAAATAATGGCTTTTTTACCTCTCTGTTATTTGATATGACACTGCTTCAGCTGTACAGGGGAACACAACTGCTTCATGCATTTGGTACGTATCTGTGCCAGGTGGTATTTACAACGCGGAGGTGATCTGCAATATAATAACGGAAACCACATGTTTAATTCCTTGAAGACCTCCCACAGCCTCTGGAGTATTTCTTCTGTCTCAGTCAGACTGCTGCCACATCGGTGGTAAGGCAGTTGGCTCTCCATACAGGAAAATGTTAGTGTATTCATCTAATACACTATTGTATTAGATGACACTGTATTCAGACAGGGATGCTGAAATCATTGTTTGGCAGTTGGACCAGATTAAATGATCCAAACTGCTGTTTGTTCCATCCCTGTTGTATAGCTCAGGGGAGCTGGAGCACCTCAGAGGGCAAAGCTCACGGAGACCTAATGGAACAGGTTCATTTCCATCTGATGGGGGAATAAGCACCAGCTTATACGTACTTTTAGTGCTGTCAGAAACTAAAATGGCCTTCTAGAAGGCTCGATGTGGATCAAGGGTTGTTTTCTTTTTTCCCTCTGATGACACTTGTGTTTTAGGGAACTGAAGTTCTTTCGCATCTGTTAAAATTCATTAGGATACAAATTTCCACCAAAAAACATCTATTAAATTGTGTGCATATTAAGGCCTTCAACTTTTCGAGCTCAACTCTCTTCTTAGTTATTTCTAAAACTGCAATAGAGATAGAAGATGACAATAAGATGGGATTAACAGAGCCAGCAAACTTGGCACTTACCCCACGTGATTTTGGTTTTCAGTGTAATATTAATAAATATATGTAGATTGTGTTTGCAACAAGAAATTGTAAAAAATGGTAAAATTTCAGAATGCTGGGCACAGTAATGATTGAGAAATAAGTTTACTTTTATTAATGAACCTGAAATCTGTCAGTTCTCTCAAAGGTCCAAAATTAATATGTAAGTGATTTATTTTCCAGGGGATGCTTTTCAGGCTTTCTTTAGGAACCTGGCCATGTATCTGCAACAAGCCTGGGTCTGTGACAAGCAAAGACATTTATTTTTGCAAATAGTGTGTCAGCTTTGTAGCTTAAAATATGTCACTTAGATTTTGCCTTGAAACAAAAGTGGCATTTCAAATCCTGAACGTTTTTTTCACAGGGAAGTCTGAGACAAGTGACGGGTCAGCTCAGTTTCGGAAGGTCCAGGTCTGAGGAGACCTCTCCTGCCCAGGATTTCTGTAGTGTTCAAGTCTGGTTGAATCTGGACTTCTCTGTACTTAGCTGCAAACCAGTGTTTCACCAAGCAAGCATGCCAGTGTTTTGCAGAACCACAATCTTGAAAAATTTTCCTTAAAATCTTTATTATTTTATTTTTTTTTACCAAAATACTGAGAAGAAATTAGGTAATTACCTTCTTGTTTCACTCCATGCACAGATGATTGATATGTAGGAGTTGCAAGACAAAAATATGATTACATGGGTGAGGGCACACAAACTACTGTGCTTTAGGACAACAGGAATGCAAAAGTTTAGAAAACTGAAATAGTAGTGCTAGTACTTAAAATTTCTGAATGATCTGCTTGCATCCAGTGTTGAATGAACTGCCATCATGTGCAAGAGCAAAGCACGCATTTCCTAGCAACCACTGATTCTTCGCTTTAGGTAGTACGTTAAAGAAATGTACTTCCTTTCAAGATAATCTTCTGGAGTGAACTGAACTTTAGCAGATAAGGGGGAAAACTTAGCTTTGCAATTATTGGTGGTGAAAGGGAAAAGCTCCAGTGCTTTTAATTTCCTGTGTCATTGTCCAGATGAAAGGCCCATTGCTAGGTGAGCTGCAGCACAAGGTGGAGGAGACCGAATTGTTGAAGATGGAGCTGCAGATGTTGGAGACTGAAAGAGTTAGGCTGTCACTGGTGGAAGAAAAGCTCATGGACGTTTTACAGCTTCTTCAACAACTTCGAGACTTGGTATGGCAGTCCAGAGACTTAAAACTGGTTTTGGTAGTGTGCTTTCCAAACTAGAAAGGATGTTCATACCTTCTATTAAGTACAAAGTCCTTTACACCAGGACATGTTTTTTGTATGTGTTTGCCCTGGGAGCTGCACGGTGATTGCAGAAAACTTTTAGATCCCTATGACCGACTTTCTAAAAGAGGCCTAGAGATGTCCTTGGATCTAGATCTCCCAGGTCTCATTATCCTCTAAACAAAAATTTAGAGGAAAGAAGGAAAACAAAAATGCTAGTAATCAGAAAGATTCTAGGAGATTGTTCTTCCTTCTAGAAAAGGACCCTTGTTTAATTGCATCCTAACGTGACACTGAGTCAGTATTAAATGGATAAACCCCCTTCCTATATACCAATAAGATATTTTTTGTAAGAACTTTATTACCTCATTAATAATCCCAACATGGACTAATAGAAGCTGATGCAATAACATCCCAGAAGTACATGGCTGGGATGGCAGTTCACTCCTTTAGAAAATGAGTTTAAATCTCCTGCTTGGGAATGATAATGGTAAGGGCTGGCCAAAAGATGGGCAAACTGGATAATGCGCAGAACACAGAGTACACTGGGAGCCACGCTGGACTGTTTGGAGCTAATTTCTTTGATAATGACTCAGGGTTCTCCTCAATTTTCAGCAAAGCTCTGCCCTCATCTGTCTGAGATGGGAATGCTTCCTCAGATGATCACTTTACTTTGCTTCAAGTACGCTCATGTTCCACTGATGACTCCAGGGAACAAGTGCAATATCTCATAATTTGGTAACTTCTTTTAGCACTTGACATGGAAATTCCACTTTCATGTTGCAAGGCTGACCCATGCATCAGTAACAATGCAGTGAAGGATTAAACTAGTAAAGACTAGCAACAAGCGTAATAACCTTTTGTGTCAAGACTTCAACATGTCGTTCAGTGGTCAGTTGTGTTATTGCCATTGGTTTCTGCTTGGGAGACAATCCGTCACACCATGTGCTGTGTCTCAGTGGTAACAGCACTTAATGCTAATCACTGCTGGAAACACGCCGCCGCGTGCTGCCAGCTCCCATGGCACCAGTACAGGCAACGACGCTGTTGATGAACAAGATGATTTACGGCATTCCCCGTAGAGTTTAGCAAGGCTCCCCTAAATCCCTGATGGGACATACTCCAGACAAAACAAGCTTATTCATCAGCAACTATGGTTTTAAGTGTCTCTTCCCCAGCATGTTCACCTTTATGTTTTCAATACCCCAAGCATCACATTTGCAACAGAATCTACCACCAAGCAATGACACTCCAAAGGCAAATGCACATCCTGTTAGGATTATTAAAACCTCACACTGTGTTGCAGAGGTCGTGGGTAATCCCAGCCCACTGCAAACTGCTCTCTGCTATCCCCCAGTCCCCACTGGGTCGGAGAAGCAGAAGGCAGGTGAGCAGTGTCAGTAGGCAAGGCCAGTATTGCCTGAGCTGCTGGCAGATACGTCGTCCTTCTTCCAGAAGAGCTTCCAATTACTTTTACTTCTTGAAGTTTTAACAAGGGCAACCTGTCCCTGCAGATACGGGCGCTCTGAGCGCTAATTAAACTGATTGCAAGACCGTCTCCCAGAAAGCAAGCAAATTAAGAGTCTGTGTTTCCAGACACGCTATGTAATGTCCCGATATATTTCTAATCTAAAACTACCACTGATAGAGCCCATCCAAATCCTAGGCAGTTTTTACAATCCTTTCACTTTGCCTAAGGTTGATTACATCTCAGAGTGTAACTAGCAGCGGGCCTGCCGCAGGACACGTGTAATCTCTTCTGGTTTGTTTGTACCTGAAATGGTTCCCCATGACTCCTAGAACAGATGGGTCTGAGATCACACCACAAACTCTGTCCGCTCCCCTTTCAACCCAGGCCTTGCAGAGGACTGAAGGAGCTTGTGTTGTGCATGCCCTGCTTCCTTTCCTTGCCATCTAGATTTGGGTAGGCACGCACTTGGAAAATTCTGTTATTTTCCACTGAATAACTGCTATTTGTCTTTCTACAGCCATATTAAGGAACTGGAGCCCTCCAGAAACTGCTACTATTTGAGCAGTATCTAAGATAAAACGCTTGAAAATAAAGCCAATATCAGGTCTTGTGTTGTCAGGATTCAGTTCCATTTTGTTTTAATTTTCAAATGCAAATACACTGCGCGTAGATTTTGTTGCATACATTTAAACTGGTGAAGGACATATTTGTGCCATAATATTATTTTGTTTTTTAAAGAACATATCTAAGCGAGCCTTGGGGAAAATCTTGCTGAGCACTTTGGAATCCTGCCGTGACCCCCAACCTGGTAAGAAAATAAATCACGTATAAAGACCAAGAAGCATGAAAAGTGTCCTTTGGGGAAAAACACTAGATAATGAACAAATGAGTAGGGAAAAAATATTTCCAATACTGGGTGACAGGTTAGGGAAAAAGAAGTACTGTGCAAGAAGATTACCTATAGAAAGTGATGCTTTCTAGTCTGTGATGCATCAGAAACAGGAATACATCCAGGGCTATTTTAGCCCAATTTTAATTAGAATTTGGCCTTAGGGAAACAATTCAGTATCCCACTAATGTCTGTAGGGTTTCATTGATACAAGAAAGTGGAAAACATGACCAGCTATGTAAGGCACCTATTTATCAGGTTTGCTATCCTACTGCGTGTTGTATTCCTCTGCTGCAACACAAACAAATACACAAAACAGTATTTCTGCAAAGAAACTGGATCCAACCTGCACTCTAATAATAGCCTTTCATGTTCCTATTACGAAAATTAAACTTGCAAACTCCTCTCCCTTGACAATAGCTTGATGTGCCAGAGCTGCCTTCGTAGGAACCACACAGGGATCACAGCCTGGAGGTTTATATTTAATTACTCTGTTCCTATGAGCAGAGCATTTGTACTTACCTTCAAGAAATGAACATCCTGTACCAAGCCCAAGAACATGGCTTGGAGGTGCTTTTAGTAGGCAGACAGTAGTCAAAGAGAAGTTTATAAAAGACTAGATGTGGCCTGAGGGTTTAGTTTTGGAGAATATTAATAACAATGATTTAGGGGGAATAACATACAAATCATTCTGGGATTTGCAGTTTCAACGCCTTGTTGTTACCAGTGTCCAGCAATTCAGGGTGCAGGCAGCCCAGCTAAGCTGTGCTGTTCCAGCACGGCTGCAGAGGGAGCGGAGAAAAGAAGGCAAAGACAGAGCTTTGTTGGCTCCAGGACACCAACTCAGAGAGAAACCATATCTGAGCCATAGGTCAGACACTTTCCTGGTGAGAACAAGAGGAGACGGTTAGTACCCACAGCACACAAGTGTCCAGAATGCACTACTGCTTGTGCTGCACAGGAGCACTGGCTCCAAGTGATGCTGCTGAAACCAAGTACCTCCCTCTGTAACTGTGGCGCAGCTCAGCTTCCTAAAATGACCTCAACAAGTGAAGTAACCTTGTGAAGCTCTCTGTCCATTCTGCGTCACCACTGCCATAAACTGCTCATCTTCTTTGCTTTCCATTTTCTGGCTGTGCTCTTGATGAGACTCAAGCAGCTGTCCTAAGTCTGTGTAATCAAACATCTTCTTCCTCTTTGACAAGACTAAGTGGATGGTTGGATTAGCAACTATTTATTGTGATATGAAATTCTTTGTTCACACAAGTATGCAAGAACTCAGTGAAGAGGCAGTGAATGAAGCAAGAGAATCAGTAGAGAAAACAGTCCTTGAACTCAATTCCACTCTCATTTTTGTAGGGGCAAGAATTCATTATTTAGTCTCAAAATTTAGACATTTTATGGTAATTACTTGAAATGGCAGCTATGAAGAAGAGAGCTTGTGTTACGATTGTTAAACTGCAACTTTCTGTCTCTGTTCAAATTATAACGTTTCCGATTTTCTTTTAAAAGGAAAAGCTCACCTATTTGAAGTCCTAGATACTCTGTACCACGAGCTGACAGCCTGTGAACTCTTGCAAAGCCAGCCTCTGGAGAAGGTGCAGAGTCGCCAGTCCTTGTCTAACCCACTGGTCATCTCGTGCTGAGCAGCAGTGCCAACTACCACCCGCACAACCAGCCAAACCACAGTCCCCGTTCGCTCAAACGCGTGATGAATGAGTAGGATTTGTCCGATTCGACAGAGCTCAGTAACAGACGAGCAACACAATAATTCAGCCAGGAAATCAAAGGTATGGTGCTGCTGGGAAGAGCGCCAGGTCCTCAGCTAACGTCAAAGCCCTCCCGTACGGGAATGAGCATTCAGGTGACGTGAGGATTACATAGCAACGTCTGCCTGCGATGGAAGGCTGACCATCCTCATGCGATGGCCCTGTAACTGTACTGGTTAACCAAATAAAAACTGTTCCAAATACACTGATCTGATCTATTTAGATTTACAGCCCCAGCTGCGCGCTGGCCGGGCACAGTTTCCAGCTTTTGTGATAGCTGGATTCGAAAGCAAAAGGCAGCCTGTGGTATCCTTGGCAAGCCAAGCGCTTCCTTAACATACACGTGACAAAATGACACGTTATAAACACAGACATGAGTGTGTGCCAGTAGTGCAAATTTTAAGGGCTCATGTATTAAATGTGTTTGTGGGTGTATTTGTGATTCAATGTTTCACCTTATTTAACTCTGAAGTTACATCGGTTATTGCTCTGCTGAATTTTATATTTGCAATTTCAGAGATGCCTTAGAAATCTGCAGCAGTCTTTGCCGATGATAGTCAGCAAATAGTTTTATATTAAAAATTACATTTAACTGCCTGAAAAAGGTGCAAGGCAATCTTGTTCCCAGGCTCTCAGGGAAAGGAAGGAGTAGAAAATTCACTTTGCAACAGCTGCCGTTGTGGCATTAGCGAAGGACGTGTGCAGCACACGACTTGGTTCTCTCATTTGATTTCCCCCAATGCAACTGCAGAGGCACAAAGCTCGGCCCCACTTGCGTGGTGCCACATAACATTTTAACCAGCGATAAAATCATTCCTGGGGGCAAAAGCAAAAAAAATAGGTTGCTTCCAAGATGCTTTTGCTGCTTCATTCAACCATCAAACACAGAAACTAAAGCAGCAAAGTTCTTAAATGATCCAGCTGAATTTATGTTATTAAAAAGACGTTCTGTAGATCTTTTAAGAATGTGAAATTATTTCCCTTAGATAATGCCAGCAATGAAATGAGATGAGACCATTTCATTCAGAACTGTGCATATGTTAATTTTTCCCATGAAAATGGTTTTCATACAGGAAAAAGGTTTGTAGCACAATGCATCTGGGAAGTAAGAGGATTTCTATTCCTTTCTATTCCTAAAACACTCTATAAGTTACACAGGCTTCCATCTAAAACTGCCACACATTACTTAGCCTTTAGAGCCATGTTGGTAACAAAAATTTGCAATAGGTATTTTCACTGCATTTTGGAGGAGGAAAAAAAGGTGTTTTGCAAACAACAGAACAAACTCTGTTCAGTGGTGTTTTACCTGTTTTGTTGGGATTTTTTTTCTGGTTTAACAGAGGAAGTGTATAAAAATAGATATATATTTTTAATGTAGATTTTTCATAAAGATAAATGAGACAGGGCATGTATATATATAGTGCAATATTCACCCTGTAAGAAAGGAAACTATACTAATACTAAATATAATACTAACATAAAACTAAGCATAATATACTATTACTTAGTATATACTAAACAATATACTAATACTATATACTACAAAAACTATACGCTAAATGTGCAACAGATAAAAATTAAGATAATTTAGTTTCCTGCTTAGGTTCATTTTCTTAAAAAACAAACAAACACAAGAACAAGTATCAGCTTATGTTTTGTGCAGCTCTCTTAGACTTCCCGAATACTGTATATGTAAAAAGAGACAAAACGCCAGCAAAACATTAAATAAGCATAATCTGTATGTACAGTTAGCAGAAGAGAGCCTTCAGGAATACGATAAGAACACAAGCACATGCCTCATTATGGATACCCTTGTGCACTCCAGGATTCTTTTATCATTCACATTAATATTCCTTAGTGTATCCACTCTATATATACATATATATCTGTATTTGTGTTATATATACACTTATGTACACCTTAAGATTGCTATGCTAATTGTATACATTTAGTATCTTTTTCACCACTGCATTTCTACTTCGCTTTCTAATATATTTCTAGAAATGTAGACTGTTAAGTAAACTGATGTCAAAATGGGGGAAGAGCAATAAAATCTGAGTGAGTACTGCACAGCTTATCCAAGCGACGGTTGAACTGTAATTAGGAAGTAGAAAATGTCACTGGAAACCTAAACTGGTGTTAAGGAAGATGCAAATAGTTGAGATTAAAGGAAGCCTTTGTGAATAAACAGCATTTAACTGATATAAGAAGCAGCAAAACCGTAGCAGCAAAAACATTTTTATTTCTTTAAGAAGTGCCTATATTAGAATCATTTTTGGTACATCAGCATATGCTGATTAACCTTTTAATAATAAAAGCTGGCTATTTAACTCCCAAAAGCAATCAATATGGAGCAAGTCAGACTTGCAGTATTTCCATAAGAAGAATCTGTTCTTCAGGATGGATCAAGAAACAGTCCTCAGTCAAATTCTTGCTGGAAATCAGAGGCAAAGCAAAGCACTGTACTCTGAAAGAACTTCTTTGGTGACCTTAAAATCGATTTTTTTCTTAAATACTTCTGCCTTAATGTTTTATACTGAGTGTGTCAGTAGTGTTGCTGAAGCTGATAAATATTTCATACAAACCTGTAGAAATACGTGATTTTAAATCAATGTAATCGAGACATTTCTAGCTCTGCCTGAAAAGCCAGGAGGCTTCCACAGTTTGATTTACTACATGGAACATGTTCACAACAGTCTGCACAGTAATCCTGGGGAGCAAACCCAAATCTCAAGGTTTTCTTAAAAACTTAGCTCAAATGGTTACTGCAGATTTCAGCTACCTTTTTTCTACAGAGAACATATACCAAGTTTAAACTGACTTTGTAAAAAAAAAAGTCCCCTATGTGACAAAACCTGAAAAGATAAGAAAGCACGCTCAAAAGCCTTGTATTTAAAAGGTACAACCACAAATCCAGATGTCAAATCTCTGCAAAAACTTTATTTTGTTGTACATTTACCAAATGGAAATAAATGGCTGTTTCCTTGCATGTTGACTTCTCAATAAAGAAAAAAAAATCATGGAGTGCATGTATAAGCATTATAAACCTTAAGTGCAATTGCCCATCTTAAATTTTGCAGCAGCAGACAAAGGCCATAGAGTGTTCCTTCCCCACATTCCTGTGTTCAGTAGGAAGGCCAGTTTGGAGGAGCACACCTGACATGTTACTGGGTGAGCGCAGCGCCCTGCTGTACTTTCCAACTGGTAAGGGTTACTTAGGTCTCATCTGTAGAAGGGACAGATTGTATGACTTCAATTTTCAGTTAGAAAACCAGTGGGCATCTATAGAAGACCTAAAGCAACCTAATTATGCTGGCTTTGAGGCACTCTGGTTGAACTCGGCTTTATACCATCCTTGAGATTTTATCCTCTCTCCAGCATGCTCATTCATCATTCTAGTGGATTTTTTTTTTTTCTCTCGAGAATAATTCCATTCTTGCAGAAAGGACAGTTTGTTTCATCCCAGTTGTATCTGCTGGGGACTTCCTAATGTAACTCACCCCAGCAAAAAAGTTATTCATCACCTCTTCTATGTGTCCTTTCCTCTTTCATTGCTAATCGCAGAGCAATAAATCCCTCAGGTTCCCAGATTTTGTGCTCTAAGACAGGTGTCCAGGCTTTCCTCAAATGAGCTGCCTGGGGTGTTCCAAGCACTCCTAACCCTCACTCCCAGAAGACTCAAGGAATGTGCCCTTTCTCCTGCTCACATGTCCCCTAAACCTGGTGGTCTAGTGTGTTTGCATTAATTTAACCTTAGCAGTTCAACATTCGATCTCCACACATTGTGATCAAACTCTTTTTCTTAGCAGTCACCATCTTAATTTATTAATTTTGTATTTAAAACTGCAAATTGGCCCCGACAAGGTAGCTAGGACATTTCCAACACTGACCTCCACTGTGTTTCCACAAAAAAACTTTCTGATTTGACTTCATTCTCAAACTTCTTTCTCCTTCCCATGCCCTCCTCACTTTTTGTTTGGTGTATTTCTCACTGAGATAACCTGAGGGTCTGCACACTTCTAACACGTCATATTTTTCGAGAAGAGTTTCCTCCTCCCATGATTTTTTACTTTATCTGAGGTATGAGTAAATTAGAGTCCACTTGATTATATGTAAGTTATTCAGTAACTGCCCAGTTTATTCTCATTGAAGCTCTCTCTGAAGTATCTGGCAGTGACCACTCATCACAGATGTTACACCGATTCACAAAACTTTCACACCAAATCAGTGCAGCTGTCTCCAGCCAGAGCTACTCCAAGAGACTGATGGCATTTGTACATGCTTTTGGAAGAAAAAAATCCTCGGCACCAGTATGTTCAAGTTTGCTGGAATTAAATCTCCTCCCTTTCATGATACTGTCCATTAATCTACTATATGGTACGTTTCAATGATGAAGGCTGTTTAGCTTTCGTTCTTGGTTTCCATCTCGCTGTTAAGAAGAAGGGAACACTTTCCAGCAGTGCTGCGTAAACCAGAACTGCTTGGTATGAGGGAATGACAATAAACATTCACAGCATGTGTGAGACACATCGCATTGCTAGCCAAAAGGTTTCTCTTAGATTTATAATTTCATGGAGTTTAAGACACGGAATCCTTTAATATTTACATTATCTTATTTGCTTAATATTTTTATGTATAATTCCGCGTAATACGAAAGCTGTAGAATGTGTTTCTTAGTGTGAAATTCAGTTGAAAATCATCCTTATTTCCTGAATTACACTTTACTTTCAAGAGGCCAGGATTTTCAGAGTTCCATTTGGTTTCTATCCCACTTTTCTGGCTCTTCTGTAATGTACCAGCAGAAACACCCTTACCCATTTCCCACGGGACTGTCTGTTACCATAGTTTGGTGGCCCTAAATTGTGGCAGTTGGAGGC